TATGCATATACACACATACATATAGGGTTTACGAATGAACATCCTCATGGAAAAGGCACAACTGTATGGCTCTGCGGTGGAAACTATACGTTCCTGAAAGGGCCACATATCCCGAAGATCATCCCTTTGAGTGTTGACGTGACACTCACTGAAACACAAGCCCGTCAGTGCTCTGTTCCTGCTAGGGATATATACATATACACAAGTCGAAAGAACAAACCGAATCAACAATGATTGTTGCCACACTCCACATCGACATACCAACATACATTAGCACAGTACATATACATGTATGCCGGTATGACCAAACATAGCCCAACATTGCACGAACATCTAAGAGCACTGCCCAGGTTCTCAGCGGAAAACCGTCGAGCTCTGCTGGAGGACCCCAAGTAGCATGGTTCAGGTCTTGTATTCCAACAGGGCTTAGGGCTTGTAGGGTTTAGGGCATTGGGTTTACCCATGGGCCCCAAAGTAGCTCCTTTTTGGGATTACCCTGTAGGATTCTAAATATGAACCCCAAACAGGAACAACTTTGGGGCCTTAGGGTATGTCTGTATACTTCGTTATATAAACAAGCAGTATAAATATATAGATAGATACATAAGACAAGAAATATGTATAAGTATGTAGATGTGTGTGTATATATATACATACTGGGCCTTTAATGCTAGCGCTTTTGGGTTGACTACCAGTCTTGGGGACAACACAACAGACATTCACCAAGTGGTTGTATGCATGCATATATAAATGTATTTAAGGTCTTGTCGGAACAGCATCCAGGACGTTAGCGCATAGGGTCGTGTAGATGGGTCCCCAGACGTAGCTCAGCCAAGCTGTGCCACGACCTCCAAGTTCCTAGCCTTGCATATGGTTGAAGCCTGGTAAATTATGAATCTCAACATGGCCCTCAGCCTCTTGGCTTCAAAATATTGGATCTACATAGTCGCTCAGCATCACAATCCATCGAAGTTCAATCTCCCTCTGCCGTCTCCGCTGGCTTTGCAGCCTTGGATTTGGCGGCCTTCGCCTTGGGAGCAGCCTTCGCGAAGTATGTCCTGGGTTCCGGGGGGATTGTACAGGCAAAGGTTTGCATACAGTGCTTTATGGGATCCTACGGTTGCGGATTATGTGGGCTGCATATATCGACTGTGCATGGCTATGTACTGTATACATAAAAATACAGGGGCATCTCTACGATATATATATATAGAGAGTATATAAGGTTTATAGGTTACATAGGTTTTCGAAGCTTATATTCATACAGGTCCTATCCTAAAGATCATTTAATATATACGTATACAATATGTGTATATATATATATATATATATATGTGGGCCCAGGGCTTGTCACACAGACATACATCGAGGCTCCAGCTTGAAGTGCGTAGGTCTTCGCCCTATAAAGCCCAAAAGGAACCCTTTCTAATATATTATATAAACTCTTAAATAAACCCTAAACCCCCGTAAACCCTATATATATATATAACCCATAAACTTGCGGTAAATTCCACCCCAAACAGAAAAGATTTCCCAAGCTTCTTCACCACCGACAATTTGTTGCCGAAGTTGATGCACCTGGGATATATAGCCATATAGCTGTCATAGCTTTACGTAAGACTTGGCAAAAACCACCCAAATGTAGTTTTGCTTTGAGTATGTATCATCCATATACAAAATAGAGTCGTAAATAAACAACATTTGTAATTATGTACTATTTTGGCCACCAAACAATAACAATGTCTGAAATTGTGTACTATGCAAACAGCCTAGAGGCTCGAGTCGGATCTGGTTGCACATCCCCACAAATGCTCGCTTCCTCAGAAGCTGGGGACATGTGCAGCTCTCCCAAACAACCTACACTCTGTCGTTACACTGCATTTGCGCAGGATGGATGCACAGCAGTCCAACAGTGGTGGGGCCCCAGCTCAGCACCTTCCGGAGTGACTTCGAGCGCTGTGATTTGGCTGTAGAGGGCCGAGATCTTGCCTTGGGATAGAGAGAGAAATTATATACAGAGAGAAAGAGAGAGAGAGAGAGAGAGAGCCACAAGAGCGAGAGTGAGGGGGCTTTGGAGGCCAGAGGGAGATAGAGGAGAAAGGGGAGGGAGGGATGAAGAGAGAGATGTGGAGAGATAATAGTAGTAATAGTAGTAGATAAAGGGTGATATATACCCCAAGCCCAATATATATATATATATATATATTCACCCTTCTCCATCAAAACGGTAATTTAAAACCTTGCACAAAGACCCGGAACTTCCAAACCCGTATAAGCTCTGAACCTCGAGACTATATAAACTGTTGATCCCGACAAGAGAGAGCATAAACCTTCCTCCCGAGAAGATGCTGTAAAGGAAACACTATGTGCTTGGAACAAATCCTGCACTCCAGGAAGGTGTTGGAGGGGTTTCGAGTTGGAGGGCTCAGCGTGCTAAGAAGTAAAGGTTTCTACCATTATATAGGATGATAAGTTGTATAGGGCTTAAGGTTTATAGGGGTTGGGCCGCTCAAGGCTTTGATGAAAGCTTCAGAAGGACCTTATCCTGATAAGACCCGACGCCCTAGACAACCCAAAGGCCCCAAAGTAGTTCCTTGTTGGGATTACCTTAGAGGATTCTGTATATGAACCCCTAAAAGGAACTACTTTGAGGCCTTTGGGTATATATATATATATATGTTATGTATATCTCAGATTATTTGAATATATAGATAGATAGATAGATGGATAGATAGATAGATAGATAGAATGCATTCCATCAGCAGTGCACAGACTGTGTGCCACAGCTCGGGGCTGCTTCATACCACAAGCATCGAGATGGGGATCGGTTTGGGCTTTTGGGGCTTTTCACTGGGCCAGCTTATTTACCCTATAGACCCTACAGACCCCTTACATGTTGACAGTTCTTGCAACCCATACGGGATGCAAACCTGAAAGCCCGAATCTAAGACATGCACATAAAGCTTCAATCATTTCTTTATATAGAGAGATACTGCGACCCTCCCTTTAACATCTCACTCCTCAAGATGGAGCCCTTTATGGGATCAGGGCTTAAGTGGACTGACAGCTTCCACATGATAGAACCTGGAACATCCACATCATGTGCACAAAGCACTCAGCAGTGAGTAGCATAAAAGTTCCGGGCATCCTGTTCTAGCTCGAAAAGATTATCCCGCTACCTGAAATCTGTACGGTAACCCTGTGCACCCTAAACCCTTGAAGCGCCAAACAGATTTGCAAAACTTATAAGGCGAGAAGCCTTGCACCTCCTCCAGTGACCGAAGGTCCTCCCTGCAGCACACCGGGTTTATAAGGCACAGATCGGGTTGAAATCGTCTGGGAGGGACATGTTGTTGTTTGCGATTGGATGGAGTCCCAAACTGTACCCAGGGGTGTGTTCTGAGTTGCATTTGACGGTTTTAAGGTTTGTGAAGGGTTTAGGGTAAAGTTTAGGGTTTATAGAAAAGGCCTTATTTGTTTATATAAAGGGCTGCAAGGCCTCAAGGTTTGATTTCGGGTTTATTTAGGTTCTCCTCGCATGCATGAACATACCAGTCGAGGCACTGGTGCCCCACAGCGTTGTCTTTCACCAAGCGCTCTTTCGTAGACTTCAGCACAGCCTTTTTGTTGAGAGCTGCTTTTTTGTATTGCCCCAGATACTCTTGCAATGTCTCGCTTCCCTCCGGTTCAGGGAATTCCACCAGCTTCGTAGGCTTGTTGTTCCCCTCGCCAGCACCCTCTGTGGCGTCATCGAGGCCTAACACATCGCCTACGGACCACTCTGTATCCCACAGCCCGGAATCTGCAAGTTCTTGCTCGAGGCTCTTCGTGCGTGATGTGCCGGTTTCCACCTTGTCGCTCGTCTGCACAAGAAATTTGAGATCGGGGGAATAGAGGCATTTTTTGAAGAGCTTCCTCTTCTGACAATATTCTTTCGCTCCGGCGATGGTGATCCTTGCATGCATACAGAAACACATTTGTACACACGTATCTATACATACATGCTTGCATGCATACGAATACAAAGACCAAGAAAAGATCACAAACCCGCTTAAAGTCTACATGGTTGCCTCCCGAGAATGCAAGTGGCAAAGCTTGCTCAAACATATAATCTTCATATAAGCCTAAATGTCGTATTGATCACACCATATATACAGTCAAGTGTATTTACAACCTGTTACAGTTTATCCTACATACACCCGGTTTCATGCACCCCATTCGTATATAGTTACCAGTTACCTCCCGAACCACAAGCTCCAGAGGTTGATCGAATTGAAACCTGATATGTCTGGATATGCAACACTATAAAATCAAGTGTTATAATCCATCTTAGACTCTCGTCCCACTTGTGGTTCTCCCTCATCTCGCGCTCTGTCAGCCACTCATAGCCGACCAGGCATGTGCGCCACTCCTTCGCCATCGCACGAAGGCGCACCAAACAGTCCAGCCGCGTCTGTGGGATGCAGACATAGGTATATATGTGTATGTATATATAGAGCGGTGAATATCACTGGTACACCTTGGTCTTCACCATTGTTGCTTATTAAGAGCTCCAGGTGAATTACGGGACAGTCTTTGATAAATTGGTTATATATAGAGGTATATATGAATATACTTACTTATTGGGTAAACAAACAAAAACAAACATCTGAATATACATATAGATACAAACTTATACATATAAACACATATTCAGCATACATATATATTTATGTATGTATGTACGCACCCACATACATATATACCTATATATGTATATTCATATTTATACGTGCATATACACACAAACATACCTATATATATATATATATATATATACATCACCAAACTATTTTTATCTAACTGTATCTATCTATATGCATAATTACACACATATATATATATATATATATGGGTAGCGTATATGCCCGGGTTAAAATATAGGAATGCTGACCATACACACGGGTTAGCATCAGTGCACTACATATGCTACGGTACCATTCATGAGAGATGCAGGTGTGGATGTACCCAAGGAGAGCAGCGATGGTACATGGCCACACGTATATATATATATATATATATATATATATGTAGGTATCTATATACATACTTCTATCTTTATATAGATATACTGAGGCAACCAGGTCTACCCCTTTGTACCAGCTTTTGTATCTGTCGGTATATGCATTCACAATTACACAAACTATAAATTCAAACCTTTATAGTATAATATCTTGAAAATCAAATCAGGCTATAGTCAGTTCTTGTCACCGGGCTCTCCGTTGGATAATGTCGCCTGGCCTTCAAAGGTTTGTTGGCGTTCGGGCTTGAAGGTTGTTCGGACACCAGGAGCTTCAGGAATGAATCTATAAAAACTATATATATATATATAGAGATAGATATAGATATAGATATACATCTAACATTCCTAGAACTGTGATTTACGCTCCTCGCTCGTCGGGGCTTCGGGTTTGAAGGCCATATAGGGATGAAGCTTTAAGGAAGGGGCTTCAGATGGAGGCACGACATCCACAACACAATTTGCGATAACTTATGGTATAGGGCTCTGAGCTTATTTATAGCTGTATGTACCTATATAGCCTGCCCAGCGACCCTTAAGCAACTCTCTCTTTCTCTTTGTAGACATATAACCCTACAGGATCAACCCATATACCCTATTAACCCTCGGAGTCTTGTTGGCACAAATCCGGAACCTGCCTTGTTCTCCTGGTGGGTCTCCTGCGGCTTCCAGCAACGGTGCACGAAGTCGTGAAGGAGCTTGTCTCGCTTGGAGGGCTCCCTCCAGGCTTCCCACATCTCCTCACTGCACTTCTTGTTGCCGAACTTGTCGACGGTGTTCGTGAGCCGGTACAGGAACTGCCAAGCTGCTGGGTGTGTGGAGCTCGACACCTTTCCGAGGCCCCCGTGTGAGGATACCGTAGCCTCGGAGCCAGGCGACTCTGACATGGCACTCGCTGGCAACGAAGTGGGGCTTGCCTGCACCATTTGCTCGCCGGTTGGCGACAGCTGAAGCGGCTGGCCAGCTGTTGTGGCTTGCACGTGGTGCTGTACGGTCGGCAAGTGCTGTCCGGTCGACAAAGGCTGCAGCGGGTGGCCAGCTGTTGTGGCTTGCGGGTGGTGCTGTCCGGTTGGCAAGTGCTGTCCGGTCGGCGAAGGCTGCAGCGGCTGGCCAGTTGCTGGGGCTTGCAGGTGGTGCTGTCCGGTTGGCAAGTGCTGTCCGGTAGGCGCAGGCTGTAGCTGGTGGCCGTTCCCCATGGCTTGAGTGAAGAAGCGGGTGCTTGGCGTAGGCTGGAGCTCGGCAGGCGAAGGCTGCAGCAGCTGGCCAGCTGTTGTGGCTGGCTGAAGCGGCTGAGCTTGCAGGTGCTGTCCAGTTGGCAAGTGCTGTCCAACAAGCGAAGGCTGCAGCGACTGACCAGTTGCTGGGGCTGGCGGGTGCTGTCCTGGCAAGTGCTGCCCGGTTGTTGAAGGCTGCAGAGGCTGGCCGGCGCTGGCTGCGGTGGCTTGCGGGTGCTGTCCAGTTGGCAAGTGCTGTCCGGTAGGCGAAACCTGAAGCGGCTGAGTTGCTGGGGCTTGCGGGTGCTGTCCGGCAGGTGAAGGCTGAAGCGGCAGACCAGTTGTCGGAGCTTGCTGGTGCTGTCCGGTTGGCAAGTGCTGTCCGGCAGGTAGAGGCTGAAGCGGCTGACCAAGGGTTTGCTGGTGCTGCACAGGCTGGCCAGTCTGTGCCAGGCTGACCCTTGGGGTAGACGGCTCCGTCTTAGCTTGCAGCTTCTGCTGCAAAAGACCTCTGGCAGTCTCTGCCGCAGTGTCGCTTGCACGAGTCTTGGCCACCTTTGCCCTTTCGTTTGCCTCCCTTTCCTCATCCTGCAGACGGATGAGCTCCAACTTGTGCCTCCTGCACCGCTCATTGTATTCCTCATCCAGTCCTCTGAGGAATTCGTTGTGCTGAAGGCGAGCGGCCTGGCTCTGCCGCGCCATTTCCTCGAGGTCAGCTGTAAACTTGCGCTTGTGGTTTGCAAACTGCTCAGCAAGGTTGTCGAGCACCATCTGCTGTTCCAGCTCCTTCTCAAACAACACCTCGTCGAACTCCGATTGGAGCTGCCTCGGCTGCAGCCCAGATTGCTCAGATTCACGGGGGATCTGAGCAGGCTGCGGCAGAAGTGGCACTTGGGTCGGCAGCTGGTTGGGCACGGTGTGCGGCTGCGGCAGAAGTGCTTGGGCTTGCGGGTGCTGTCCGGTTGGCAACTGCTGTCCGGCAGGCGGAGGCTGAAGTGGCTGACCAGCTGCTGGGGCTTGCGGGTGCTGTCCGGCAGGCGGAGGCTGAAGTGGCTGACCAGCTGCTGGGGCTTGCGGGTGCTGTCCGGTTGGCAAGTGCTGTCCGGCGGGTGAAGGCTGAAGCGGCTGACCAGCTGCTGGGGCTTGCAGGAGCTGCTGTCCGGCAGGCGAAAGCTGAAGTGGCTGACCAGCTGCTGGGGCTTGCGGGTGCTGTCCGGTTGGCAAGTGCTGTCCGGCGGGTGAAGGCTGAAGCGGCTGACCAGCTGCTGGGGCTTGCAGGTGCTGCTGTCCGGCAGGCGAAGGCTGAAGTGGCTGACCAGCTGCTGGGGCTTGCGGGTGCTGTCCGGTTGGCAAGTGCTGTCCGGCAGGCGGAGGCTGAAGTGGCTGACCAGCTGCTGGGGCTTGCGGGTGCTGTCCAGTTGGCAAGTGCTGTCCGGTCGGCGAAGGCTGAAGCGGCTGTGCTGGGGCTTGCGGGTGCTGTCCTGGCCCGGTTGTCGAAGGCTGCAGTGGCTGGCCAGCTGTTGTGGCTGTCAGGTGGTGCTGTCCGGTTGGCGAAGGCTGAAGCGGCTGAGCAGTTGCTCGGGCTTGCGGGTGCTGTCCAGTTGGCAAGTGCTGCCCAGTTGGCGAAGGCTGAAGCGGCTGACCAGTTGTCGTGGCTTGCAGGTGCTGTCCGGTTGGCGAAGGCTGCAGCAGCTGAGCAGTTGCTGGGGCTTGCAGGTGCTGTCCGGTTGGTGAAGGCTGGGTGGTTAGCTGCGGAAGCGGTGCGTTACTTCGCACGGGGGTCGGCTGCAACTGACCCGGCTGCAGGCTAAGCGCTGGTGGCACCGGAGGGCTCACAGCAACCATCGGGGAGCCAGCCTCGGTGGTCAAGCTGCCTGAAGACCAGCCATGCATGATCCCAGACTCTCGTGGTGGGCCAGCTGCCACATCTTGTGTGAAGATGCCTGGCTGCGTCGCGATGTCATCCTGGTTCGGTGCAGCTGGTGGAAAAACGGTTCCACCAGCAGAGCCCGAGGAGTAGCCTGCACCCAGGGCTCTCGATGGAGAAAAATGATTACTTTGTGTACATATACAGCTAGATATCTATGGGTCTGTTTATACAAAGATAGACCTTGTAGATTGGTGTATATAGACACATAGGTAGATAGACATAGGATATACATAAGGTTAACATCTACCACATGCAAGCTCCTCTATGTTATGACAGCCATAAATTCGGTGCTTGCATGGACACTTTCGGATTTCTTCTAGAGCACGGAAAGGCCTAATGATTAAGTTGTTTTACAACAGGGCTTCTGCGTTGGCGTTGGGTGTTATCTTTATCAAGCTTTTCATGGGATCATAGGGGCTATAGCTTTTCGGTGCTCAGGTGTAAAGGGTCCTGAGTTAAGGATGTTTCCAAAGACCAGAAACCCCTGCGAAAAAGCCACCATATCAGCAGTTTGAGCCTCTCCTGAAATGTCAACTCTACATAAACCCTTACAACTTCCAAACCCCTACTTCCATATAGGGTCGATATGGTGTATATATATGTAGAAGGTGCTATATGTAGTGTTCATGTAATGCACCAATCAGATCCTCACAGTTCATTGCCTGAAGATGTACAATTACAGGGCTTTCGTCGGGCACAGATTTTCATCAGACGAGACCCCCAAAGAATCCGGTGGTGTTTGCTTGTACTATATACATCTGTCTCACTGCCACTAGCACAAGCACCACTACCAACTCCTACCAACCCCACTTCGAACTATATATAACCCTACACATATATATATATATATATATATACATATGTATGTACCATAAACATCAGGCCTATACTACCACAGCTACCATTACCACCACCACACCACCAACCACTACCAAGACCACTTCCATTGCTTCGTGGTTTTGGTTTGCATTTCTGTTGTTAGGGAGTTCGTAGATGATGTTACTTTTATAACTCAATATATAGATGTTCGACCCTACCATGTGTATATATATAATGCGGGATGTGGAAGCACGGTTGTTAGCATTGCCCCCGTCTTCGGAGGTCCCACGAGATAGCTGAAAGCTCCACATTGCATGGTGAGGCCACGAGGGGGATTAAGCTGTTGGAACATTCGCTTGTATGCGTACAGAAGTTTGCGTTTGCAAAATGGGTTCGAGGGCTACATGGCTTTACAAGAGTGCACAGCACTACCTGACTATACTGATCATTGGGATTTTTAGGTTGTTCGTGGGAAACAAGCAAAGTGTCATAGGGACCCTTAGGGGTGTAAGGGGGGAGGGTGTAGGGGACTATATTTCATTATGGGCATTAAGGCCCCCTACCCCCCCTCCCCCTACACCCCTAAGGGTCCCTATGAAAGTGTGTAGCAAGGACTTCAAAGACAGGTTTCAAGGGGTTGTTTTCATTGCAACCCTGGACACACATCGGAGGCTTGGAAGTGACACTTACGTAGCTCAAAAGACCCCTATAAGCCGATTCTCTTTGCAAGGTCCCTTGGACTCCCTTCGGAAATGCAATATCCATTTAAATTTAGATTCATGTGTGCGAAAAATAGAGTAGCCAACCCACCCCATGCCTCGACGAAGCTCGTTGGCATTCCGCAAATATTCAGCCTTGAGCTGCAAACTCCGGGGAGTGTCAGGCAGCGACTTCAGCAATGCGCTCGTCTCCGGGCTCATCGAATCCCAGGCATCATCTAGAAGTCGCTCGGTCTTGGCCTGCAGGCCGATATGTAGCCCTAAATCGCCCCAACAGTATAACCCTAAAGGCTGTATATCAACATACTGTCCAAATAGAAGAAGAAACACCTGCAACCCATGCTTCCCTCAGCCCATGCTGTAAGCATGATTATATAAGCCCAGTACATCTACACCATGTGTCATTACCCATAGGCCCCAAAGTAGTTTCTTTTTGGGATTACCTAGTAGGATTCTATATATGAACCCCAAAAAGGAACTACTTTGGGGCCTCTGGGTATCTGCCTTGTTCACAAGCAGTCACGACATGTGGGGGAGGATTACATATACAGGCATGACTACACGACATACCCATGTGCTTGGGAAGGCAGGGGGGCTTCAACTGTGTTTGCGTCAGAGGAAGCAGGCGCTCTATAGGAAGACAACACATCCTAACCCCGAATCGTGGCAACCTTATGCCCGAAAGTTTATGCATATGTATTTTTCTCGTATATTAGTATAGGACAACTATATAAAGTTAAGTTTTATGTTCCAAGACAACACTGATGGGGTTTAAGGGTTTGGGGCTTAAGGGTTTTATAGGTAAGTATGTAAGCCCCTTGACCACACGATGTGCCTGCACACGGGTTGGAGTTCGGGGCTGTGGCTGCTGCAACAGCTGCTGAGCACCAGCCGTCAAGCTTGCACTCGAATGAAGCCTCGAACCGTTATCCATGGCAGGGTACGATCGAGACTGTAACCCTCGGTATGTAAATCCTGTTCCCTGTGAATCGGAGGTCCAGCGGAAGTCGGGGCGTGCAGGCTCACGCAATCATGTGCAAGCTGTATGGTGACCCCTCATGTGCGCACATATATCTACACACACATGCCTCAATGTATGCAGCAGGACAGAATACACCAATGCACCGTGTACACACCCACATACAAATACAGGTCTTCTAGTTGTACATGTAGGCATGTTTGTATATATGCCGTGTGCGTGGTTGATTGTAGCAAACTAACATCACCGCGTGCCGTCTGAAGTCACAACATGTCACAATATATAGCTATATGAAGGAGCATTTACATACTGATGTGTATTTACATGTATATGCGTGGATATACATAAAGATATACCATGATATACCTATATGTAAAATATGCACGCACACACACACACATGTGTCGGCACATGCAGTCACATACAGCTGGCATCCACCACGAGGGGCGGGGAGGCACCTAAAGGAGCAGCATCTCGATCTCGTTTGCGGCTGCTTGTCGATCTGGAAGATGGCACTGAATCACCTGGCCACAACACACTTGAAAATGCCACAAGCTATATGCCTATATGCGCATGTGCATACACATAGGTCTATATATATATATACATACATACATATATGTAGATATATGTAATTGTATGTGTATGTATATATATATATACACACAAACCAAATGTGTTCAGTTCATAGCATTGGTCCACCGTAAACTCTCTTTGCATATCCTATTTGTCTCTCTTCATATCGCACTCACTCATTCTATCTTTCTCTTTCCTTTTCCCAGCCAGGTGTTCATATGTGAAAGGTACAAGTCCATATACACGGAAATAGATGCACATATACACTTATATATGTATATGTATGTGTGTATATATATATATATGTATATACATATATATATATATATATATATATACAATGTAGCTGCATGTATGTCCGGTTTTGCAGAGTTAGACTTGGTATATAGATATACAGATATGCAACTGTAACTGTATATAGATATATTGAGGTACTCATGTCTACATCTTCGAGGTATGTGTGTATATATACACACCCAAGTGACACAGCCGGTGCCCACAACCAGGCCTGGGACTGGAGGTCGTCGAACCGGGGCTTTCGTTGTCGTGGACACAGCATCCTTTGGAACACCTGGCACCAGATCTGGTGCATCAGCACACACAGGGATGTTTTGAACTGAAGCATGGACAAACATAGACCAGAGCAACACAGAATTCAATGGTTTTGTGTGGACACATACACCTATATGTGTAAGTTTATAATATATTTACATATACATATGCAACCATGTATGTGTTTGGTGTTTTTCCATATAAATATGTACATATTTCTACTCACGTATTCTTATATGTGAGTATTCATATTTCTACATGTATATATAGTTATGACTATCCAACCACTATTGTAATGGTTGCGATCGAATCACCTATCTGGGGAAGCACTTTCTTGCACAAGAATGTGGTTTGGACAGTACTTTCTTGTGCCAGGCTTCCCTTGGCAGGCATATACAAAGAAACAAGCTCACAAGAATCTGAGTACAATGGATTCTTGTGCATATGTATGGTTTCTTGTGCCAGATCCCTGTTTGTATGTGAAAAAACGGTATCACAACGCTGTCAGGATTCTTGCGCGTTCTTGCGCGTTCTTGCGTTTTTTTTTGGGTTCCCGTCTCCAAAAATTGCGTTCCCAACGCGTTCTTGCGCAGGGCTTTTTGGGCTGGTGCTGTCATTTCCTAATTGCAGTAACGTTCGGGGTGATATCATGTTTCAGGTCGTCTGCAGCATCTCATAGCACCTGAACACATACCCTTTTGTAGAACAGTCCAACCTTAAAGCATGGTTTCGGGCTTTCAGGGCTGTTCTTGCTACTACAAAGGATGTGTGACTGATATATATATATATATAGATATATATATATACATGTATATATATATATATATATGTATATGTGCACATATACATCTATATATATATATATATATAGATAGATAGATAGATAGATACATAGATAGATAGATACATAGATAGATAGATAGATAGATAGATAGATGTGTATTAATGACACGCCAGCAACATGTGTATAAACACACGCTTATCTTCTATATACATATATATTCTCTCGCAATTATACACCTCTCAAACCGTTGTATATACACATTTACAGAGTGTGTGTATATATGCACACGCACATATATATATATATATATGTGTGTGTATATGTGTATATAAAGTTGTGTGTCTCAGACTCGACATTGATGTCGACGGGATGCTGTGATAAACCCCAAACCATTACAGAATCACTATAGATACACACACACATCTCCCCCAACTATAAACACTATATACTGGCTATATAAACAACCCTTAAAAATAGTCTTCACTGAAGGGTTCAGAACGATTCCCTGGACTGGCTGGTACGGCTTCAAAGGCTCGACTGATGGGCTGATGGCTTCGGGTTATAGGGAGATTCTGGTTATGGTGTATATATGCCATATTTATATATATATCTACAAGAACCACATCACTGACTAGTTGGGGTGCGGGGGGTGTTAAATTTCTTGTAGCTCTATATATATATGTATATATATATATATGATATGCACCTATTTTAATAGCAGTGCTCACCAAAGGGTATATAAGTATATAGTGAAACGCTACAGACCCTATAAAAACCAGTATGCTAAACTCGTGCCCTTTACAACTTCTGTGGTTATATAGAATTCGGTATGCAACCCAGTATTGGCTCATGGTACGCAAATGAAACAAGGTTTTCAGGTTTGGCTGATAACAATAAGGCTCGCAATGGCTAAGGCTTCAACTTTCCTGACGGACACACGAAGTACACTTTTTGCATCTTCTGCGAGATTGACGTGTCCCTTCCACATGAGCCGCTGAAACAGCTCTCGGATGTGCACATAATTCAGGCACGGAAGGACCCAGGATGTAGACACCCTGTTTCCCAATTGATGGGAGTCAACCCAAAAGCATCTCACGCTGTGCGGCATTTGCGCCAACACAATACACAAAATATGGAGGCGGAAACCTTGCTGCTCCACCCTTCAATCGCATCCCCTCCCCGCCGCTGTTGATGTTCCTGAGCGAGCCTTCGCTGTCCCGACTGAATACTTGAATCAGTGCTGCTTCGAGATGTTCTACAACAGATAGGTTGTTGGAGGCATGGACACAAACCATCCTTTTGAAATTCTGATCTCGATAGGAGTGCCACCTCTGGTTCAGGTCGCTCGTGATCCCAATCTTGTATACACATAGGGGCAATCCCCCTAGTGTTCGCCTCAACTCCATCACTTTCTGGATGCAATGGTCAAGAATCTTTCCCGACTTCGTACTCGGTGGCAAAACAGCAATGGTAATCGCACTCGCAAGACACTGGCACCAGGCTCTTCCCAGCTCAGAGTGAGCATTGGATTCATGTGGCACATGGCCTCGACACACTTGTCCACACCGTCAGAAACATAGCACTGCATGTGTGTGTGTGTGTGTGCATGTGTGTATATAAAAGTGAACGTATCTGTATATATGTATAGAGGTATGCAGAACCCAACTCCATATGCACATATAAATATATGTATATATATATATACCTACCTACACAGAACAGCCACATCGACAAAGCTCTATATGCTTACACATAGTCATATATATGCATATATGACTTCCATGTGTGTATATCTATAGGTTCCAGGCGAGAAGCATTCGTCTGCTGCAATAGAAACATGTGTGGACTTCACCGACGACTGGAAGCCAAGCTGTCTTGAGGACTCCCTGCCATGGGGATGTTACTTGCAGTTGGGTTTGTTTTCTGAGACGGCTATATAGATTTAAACCCGCTCTTACATTCCTATCTCTCAAACGCAGGCCTACATAACATATGACGAAACCACCCAAGCCTGGAAGCTTCACCATGATTGAGGCTCACAAGCCCCTGAGGAGCACTGCAGGTAATCTTGCGCTCACGGCCCCACTCGTCGGTGTATGTGAACAACTCTTCAAGTTCCAGCTCAGCAGTCTGGGAGTCCATTGCCAACGGCCACAGCTTCTGTCTAGGTATGTGTATACAAACATATCGCACTAGTCGGTCGTTTGCATTCGTTTGTTGTAACAGATGACAATACATATAGCAAGAATATATGTGCATGGTTATGAGAACGACTTGTCATCTTCATACACACACAGACATTGGACATACATTATATATATACATATATATATATATATACATATATGTTTTGTAGAAGCACCATTCAATATAGTGTGGAAGGCATAATGGCTATGTATATAGCAGCTTTATGAGTGAGAACCAGGGTATGTACCTGTACTGTATTCGAAGTATGCAACGCATACTGAAGAAGACTTCTCATAAAGGTCTGTGTACAATTTGATACTACCTGTACACATACTATGTGCACACATATTTATATGTCAACATAAACTTGTTTTCGTGCTATATATTGAGCTACAAAAGCTTGTAAGAATACCTGCCTATACATAAACTAACCTACTATACATAAATATAAAAAGGAAATATATATATATATATATATGAACTGTACATATGCTCATATACACTCCAGCACTTGGGGAGGAAAAACACTCACGGCGGAGACTCATTGGCAGGGTGCAAGCCTAACAAAAAGGCTCGGAGCATTGGGTCAGTATACGAATACTTGGAACTCTCCAAGTACAGCTGTACATCCTCCATCCCTGCATCAGACCACAGTGTGTGATTCTGGAGGGCAGTCAGCAAAGTCATCACGGAAGCTTCGCCGGTGGCCTCTCAAGGGTGGGGTGTCGGGCAGAACCAGTCGACATAGATGTGCAAATACTATCTGTATATATATATATATAGATATGTATATATGCATACATATATATATATATATAGACACACACACACAGGCAAACCACCATAAGCATAGCGGTACCAAGCATAATGATATACATATATATATATATATATTATATAACCATGTAGTGTTTATACATATATATATATATATGTTCTCGTACATTATATAGTACATACCAACCCACGCACAGGATGCCTGAGGATTCTTGAGGCCACCGATATGTTGATGCATCCGAGGGAACAATGAAGCCAGTTTTCGTCCAAAGGCTTCCGGGTACGACCTCACGTTGCACAAGCACCATTATATAGAATGGTTCTGCATGAAAATGCAGCCGCACAGACCTTTGCACACATGCTCCTTGACAAAGGAAACTGTTGTATATGTTACACGGATAATCTTGTATGTAACATGGTGCACATACATACATGTGTGTGAAAATCATCATCTTATATAAACCCGGTAGCTATGCTGCTTTAAACACCCATACATGCAGGATGAATGTACACATATATTTTATACACATATACATATAGTGTTCCGACACCACTAAGAACCAGGCTGAGACTGCTTCAGCTTCAACTTCCGGCCAGTTGAGCGCTTAACACCGTACCGATCAACATGTCGTTTCGCCAGGGGCTCGCAGTTGGCACGAAGTTCCTCCACAAGGACACTACAAATGACAGTGGCTGTAGCGTTTATTAAAACCAAGCTTTCGCACATAGGCAGATAAAGATAAGCTTATATATATATATATATATATATATATATACATTCTCATGAAGGTATTTATTTTTAAACGACCGAGAGACATCTACGTATAGATCTTTCAATTAATACACAGACACACATACATATAGCTCACATTTATTCACACAGACATGTGTATATATAAAAATACACATAGATAAATATGTATACCCTGGACAAACAAACAAAAATCTACATCTAGGTATATATACATGTGTGTGTATAACACACATGCATATGTATATGTTTACTGGCATGAGCACACATGAAAACCGAGAGTAATTGTAAGAAGCAACACCAATCGTCCCTGCAACGCTCCTTCGTCATCTTGCCCAGGGACAGCTCAGATACAAGGGAGCTGTTGCTCCAAAAGTAGGTCCTTTTGCATGCGAAGTGCCCATACAGCCGGAGCCATACCGGTTGTCTCCAGACCTAGGAAGAGGGCAAATGAATGGTTGCATAGAACATGGCATATTTCCTTACGACTCCTACATCGTTGCTTACATATGTGTATATATATATGTATATATGTATATACATACACAAAACACAAAACCACATACCCAAAAAAAAAAATATATATATATATATATATATATGCCCATATATATATATATATATATATATTTTTTTTATGTGCATACAGCGATATAGGTAGTTTGGCATAAGTACATAGATGGTAAGATAAATAAACAGATAGAGATATACTTAGATGGACTCATAGATGGGTAGGTACATCAGATGTAGAAATCGATAGATAGATAGTGTGTGTTTGTTTGGCAGCACCACAGCTTGAAGCTGCTTCTCGGTTCATCTCAGACAGGCAAGAAGCTGTGCAAATGTACTTCGTGAAATACCTCCATTGAGGAAGATGACGAAACATGCCATTGGCAGGCTGTTCCAATACGAAAGCATGCCCGAGTGCTTGGAGCAGCCAGCACAGAATGACCGACCTTGGCTGTCACATTCCAATCGACTTCACGCATCCGAACTATGTAAGATTTAATTCGGACTACAGCACCCAAAGCATGCTCTATGTACAACTGATTTAGCCGCGCATACACACACACATTGACAAAACAAGTGAGATCTTCATCTCTGGGCGACTGCAAACAAACGAATACGATCTTGGTGCTACTATACCCAAAGGCCCCAAAGTAGTTCCTTTTTGGGGTTCGTATATAGAATCTTATTAGGTAATCCTAAAAAGGAACTACTTTGGGGCCTCTGGGTATAGATGTGTTGCTGCGAAACGGTGTATGTAGATGTATACATATATATATATATACATATTAATGTGTCTGTGTGCTGCACACATATATACATATATACTTGTGCATGTATATGTGTGGTTGCACACATAAAGAATCACACACCAGCCATGTACACATGCATGTATACGTCCATATCCGTGCATGCACATATCACGTTTGTGATAGTGTCCGTCTAGCGTCCGTGCCGCCATCTTGTTGCTAGACGCAACCCATGCCACGCTTTCGAAACCTTTCGGCCTCTCGAAGGCTCTGCCAGATTTGGAAGCACAGAGGAACCCGAAACTGGAACACACCGGAGCTAGGACTCCCAATGATCCTGGCTCCAGGCGGAGCACTGACAGCAACGCCAGCCTTAGCCGTTTGTTTTGACCAGATATATCGGATGGTAATACCTCGAGACCCAATAGCTTCTATTCCCACATCAAGGCAAAACTTGAGTTGTATCTCTCTGCGGCCAACAAACGCCATTCCTGCATCCGTCAGAATGTCCATGGCTTTACCAGTGTACGAAATGTCTAGGCTCACTCCTGCCATATTCGTATTGCGAAGCGCCCGGGTGACTTGCCCGCATCCAGCGAAGAACTCACAGAAGCGCCACACCTTGCCACACACATCAATGCCACTACGCATGTTAGCTCTCTGCCTGTGTTATATGTATATATATACATATATGCACATATGTCTATGCAGCTATGTACATATAGGCAGGCAAACCAGGTGACACCAAACTGAGATCACATGGTCAACCAGTGTACAGTTGTATATGCATCTTTATATATATACATGTATATGTATATGTATATGTATATGTATATGTATATGTATGTATATGTATATGTATATGTATGTGTATGTGTATATGTATATGTTTGTGTAATATACATATATATATATATATATGTTAAATACATTGAGTCTATCTATCTATATATATATACACATATGTGCATATTGTATACTCTTGAACAGGTTGATATATTTAGTTACCCTTTCCAACTACTGCTCTGCATGCATCAACACACACACACACGGACACGCATACACACACATACAAGCATAGTTTTAATACCTACAATTTTTTTATCTTCTCTGCATTCAAATCTGGAGCTAGATTTATATCTGTATCTACATCGATTTCTATATTACACACGTAATCTACATAGGTATCTTTCAGTCGCACGTGTATACACACACACAAACATGTATGGCAGGTACATGGGTAAGCCATCGAGTGAACTTCTACACACTTCCATCCTCTGCCGGCACACGCAAACCTAAGAGTTGCTTCGAGGCATCAGCTATGCAGTGTACAACTCCTGTGTTGTGCGGCAGGCCTGCGCAACATCGAGCTTCTGGTTGCAGAGCACCAGCAGCACACATACCACGACTACCTCAGGGAACGCCGATAGTTCAAAACCGACATGCATTTGAGAGTCACTATACTTTGACAGTTCAGTTTTTTTCACAACACGGGCCTGAGGTACCCTTGCCACATAAAGCCTCCGAACCAAATCATCCACTGACCATTGCGTCATGGTTGGAGAATGGTGCCCTATATATACAGAGGGGAGGACCATTCAAAAATGCGCATGCAATTCAAGGAGCTGGTGGTGTCAACTGCATGTAAATAAAGAATCCATGCTTCCGAGGCCACTGAGACATGCAACACATGCACATTTCCAAGCGCCACAAGTTTGCCCAAGGACACTCCGCATCCCCAGTCCCCAAGAGAAAGACAAGCCGGCCACGCGTGCCGTCTCCTCATCAACACGGGACAGGCTCTGGAGCAGTATCTTGTTGCCACGAGGCATATCCACAGCATCACCTGGAAACGACCGAATGAGGAAGAACATATACTTACACACATTGTCGTTTCATATGTGGGTGCACTGTGACGACGGCTTCGATTATGTGTTGGTGTATATATATATATATATGTATACATATATATATATATATATATATATATATATATATATATTGAGGGTTTCAAAAAACACACAGATGCACCTGCATGCGCATACATATGTATGCACACATACAGTGCCCATGCATATATACATGTACACATATTTACATATGTACATATGTACATGAGCATACATACACATAAGAGCATACAAGCACGTAGATGTACATGTATGTGTGTG